ATGCTAAAGGAGGTTATTGAAGTTTATGTACGCTTGCGTTGACAATCATCCTCATGCCATTGAACTTAAATATGAAGAACTTCCTATGGTATAGAGTAAGTACAAGGTATTGTGTTGTATACATAAAAATTCTGTGTAGTTAGTAATTTAGTCGCGTTCTGTACATACAAAATTTATCCGATAGATTTTTAAATTATAAATCTCAAACTCTTGAACGTTTTTTGAAAAGCCGCCTAGCCGCGAAAACGACGCTAGTAGAAAAAGGGTAAAGCGCCTTGAAGGATTTCCGCGTAGTGGAAATGAAATCCCAGCTTATACTTCATAACATTTTCAATTATGCTACGTCAATTGACTTCAGAATAAGGAAGTATGAGGCAAGAGAGGAAGCTATTAATCTATGCAGAAACTGGTTATGTTTTTGAATCAATATGGCTTTGAGTTCAAAGACGAAGAAAATGTTTTTTAATATCCTAATGCATGTTTACTCATTCCCAATCCCTTAGTAAAAATATTCATCTGTCAGCATTCAATCAGTAGAGGCAGGGGCTTCTTTTTTCCAGAATGGTTTGGAATTCCATTAGAATTATTGTGATGTTAAAAGCACACGTTCGTCAATAAGAAAATACGTTTAACACATTGTCGACAATACAAAGTAGGTGTGTGCACGATTCCTTTCATTCAGATTATCACAGTCCATCGGTGCGTCCTAGAGAATACACGACATCATTCTTCCCATGTACTGTCCATCAGCATCTTTTGAAAATGAGGATCAAGTGTTCATGAGAAATCTTCCCAAACTTCTTTCCAGTGCACTCTCTTATATTGCAAATTTTCAGAAACTATCAAATTCTAAAACCGATTTCCAAATTGGTAAGAAAAGTCCTGTCTTTGCCCAGTCAGTTTCCTTCAACACTCCCTCTTCCATCTCTTCCAAAATTTTTGGCCGTCAGTGTTGTCAACAGTAATGGTCGCAAATGTCTTCTCGAAAGGGGTGGAAAAAATTAACAAGGCGGGCTCAGGGGCGGTCGAGCCAAGTCTTTTTGGGGAAAAGAGTTGCTGTTATAATTGTTCCCGGATTTAATTAATTTTTGGAGAGTTTAAATGATAGTTTAGAAAAACAAGTAACTTAAGTTATTTTATTCCTTCAAATTCTTTCCACCAAACTTTTACAAATTCGCGTCGCAAGTCGCGAGAAGGAGTAGAGGGGTCTCCTCCATGTCCCTCTAGCTATACTGGGTGATCACGGCTATGGATGTAATCAACTCCTAAACGAGATAGATGATAGGTAATGAAAGAAGCTGTTACCAACACGGTTACGATTTTCTGAGTCCACGTTCTATGATGTGCCAACCTAACAATCACATCTTATCACGTACCCAACCCAAGCCTAATTTTCGTAAGTTATAGGATGATTGGC